TATGTGGTAACGGCACATTCAACGCCTGCTTCGATTTTAGAGCAAACCAAAGACTTTGGAAAAATACATAGTTGGAGATGGGATGAGAAAATGGTTAATGGGATGTTTTATGGTTTTTTATTGTTTTTTTTTGTTTTTAAATATGTACACGAGGGCTGTGACGTAAGTTTGTTGCTCAAGGACGTTGTCGTTACCGCGATGTGTAAGGTGAGTTTATTGCTAATTATCTCTCTATTGTTTCAGATAATTAATTTGAAACAATGTTAAACAGAACAGCAAATATTTTAGAAGCTGCCGCACGACTAGGATGTACATCAGATCCGTCAGAGCTATCATGTTCTACCAGTGATATTGAAAATCCAAATATTATTGTTAGTTCCCCTTCATCTTCTTCACTTCAAAATATAACGAATCAGCCTCCTCAGAGATATGTGAAGCAACCACAGCGATTACGTCCAAGAAACTATTGAGCAGAATTATTTTGATCAGGTGATAAAAGCGGCCCATATGCAGATTCTGAATCTTCTTACTAGCCTTTAGACCAACAAGAACGTAACGACAAGAATTCTTCAGAAGATGAGCAGTCTGTCAATGATAATAATCAAGTTGCTGGAACCACAGTAAATCCTCACGGAACTTCAACGAATTCTATAACGACCGATGATAGTTGGGGGTCATGCGGACAAGTCCCAAATAATTTTCAGTTTACTTTACAAAGTGATATGCGGAACAGATATGCGGGCCAGTATGGACTGAAACCAACATAAGAGAAATTGGCATTTTTTCTATTCTCCTAGTTATGGGAATAAATCATCTTATTGTATTGGCACCGAAATCCAATGTATAAAAATGACTTTATTTCCAAAAGCATAAAATGAGCCAGGTTTGACCTATTGCTAAAATTCATTCATTTCGCTGACAACAAACAAAATATGGAAAACCTATATAGATTAGCAAAGGTGAGGAATGTATTAGATCATATAAAGATAAACTTTTAAGATGCTTTCACACCAGGAAAACAGTCGTCATTGACGAAACTATGGTACTTTGAAGGAGTCGATTGGTTTTTCGCAAATACTTATCAACCAAGTCCCACGAATACGGTATCAAAGTCTACAAGCTTTGCACACCTGACGTGTATACCTACAACTTTAGTATCTATTGTGGTGAAAATGTAAGTGACCATGGACATACTTTTGATATCACGGTCAACTTGATGGAAGATTGACTGAATAATGGTAGAGTAACCATTTACTAAGTATGAAAATACTTACAGAACCAGCCAATGAATACTACATTCCTCTATATATGGCGTTCATAGATTTCGAAAAGGCTTTCGACAGAGTCGAACATTGGGCAGTGAAAAGTTCTTTGGTTAACAGCTGAATTGACCACAGATATACGGAACTGCTGAAGCCCAATTATGAACCACAACACATCTACTAAGATGTTAATGACTGTGATGATGATACGGAACTAATAGCCAATATATATAAGGAAGCCAAAACAGCAATTAAATTATATGAAGGAACAAAATCAATACAAATAAATAGAGGCGTGAGACAGGATGATACAATATCACCGAAACTGTTCAATCAGACTCTTGAAGGTACTTTTAAAAGATTAAAATGGGAAGAAAAAAAGTATAAAAATTTGTGAACAACGCTTGAACCATCTAAGGTACGCTGATGACATCGTATTGATAACCGATAAAAAAGAAGAAAACAAAAGATATCCACAGCATCTTAATACCAAAGTATACAATCAATGTGTACTCCCTGTTCTTACTTATGGTTCCCAAACGTGGACATTTACAAAAGCAAACATGGACAAAATCATAAAAACCCAAAGGGCGATGGAAAGACAAATGTTGCACATAAGACTAAGGGATAAAAAGAGAAACGAGTGGATAAGAGAGAAAACAAAAGTGAGGGATGTTAGACAAGAAGTTGCAAAATTGAAATGGAGATTTTCCGGATACACTATAAGACAAAAAGAAGACCGATGGAACAGAATTCTTATAAGTTGGGATATAGGTTCGTGGGAATATAAACGAAGCAGAGGAAGAATGAGATGGGCCGATGATATCAAGAAGCACGTGGGCTCTAGGTGGATGACTGTAGCGACAGACAGAGAAGAATGGAAAAGGATTGGGGATGTCCAAAGATGGACCGCAGAAGGCTAATTAGATAAATAAATAGATAGATAGGTAGAGTACTTTACACTGACAATTTTTATACCAGCGTAAAATTATCAACTTCTACAAAATAATATTTATTTATGTGGGACTTTGCGATCCAATAGGAAAGGGAATCCGAAAGATGTTTGCAATAAAAAACTGAATAAAAATTAAAATTAAATCTAAAATGCACTGTGTACCACATGTGCTGAGATGAGCCGGAATGTACCACATGTGGTACACGACGGTATGAACGTGTTAAATACCTTGTTGAAGATAAACCACAAATTGTGAAGCAAACTATTTTAATGAAGATTTCGACTTTACTTACTTACTGTGATACGTTCCAAATCAGAGTAAATTGTAACAAAAGGATATTAAAAACAGTAAACACGTCAAAGCAATCTAATCCACGGTACAAATAGCCATTATTCATTGGAATTCTTAACAAAGAACCATTCTCTGTATTTGAACGTCAATTTTTATCATAGCAATGCCGGTGACGACTGGCCTATTATTACTCATTGTGGCCTGACGGTGTGAAGTGGCTTCAGACATGTCCTTTGCGATCCCTCTGCTAATAGATATGCTTTTTAGGAGTCCTTATTAAAATTTCCGAGCAGCTGGCAATGAATAGGATGCAAATTAGTCCTATTTCAAAGCCCTCTTTTCACTTATTTTTATATTCGAAGCAATCACCGCTAGAACGTGGTAGTTTTTTTGGTCTCCAGTCAACTGGTAATTGATTTTTGTCCTGTCGTAGAAATTAGCTATGTGACTGACGACTATTAGAACTTCATTCTAATGAAAATTGGCATGAATATAGAAATATTAATGACTTTCACTTCTATAATAAAGCAAATGTATAGGATTGGAATGAAAGAAATTAAAAAGGTTTCTTTAAACATCGTTAAAGGAAAATCTACCATTGACTTTTTAATGAATAAAACAGAGGATATGTTTAGGTAAACACACTTATAAAAAATGGGAACATTGAATAAAACATAGTAAAGCATTTATACAGTGGTGTACACAAAATTATATGTGGCGACTAGAAAAAACTTACATTGGTCAAACTGGTAGAACTTTTAACAAATATATAGCAAAGCATAACAAGGTTTTTAAATATAAAAAACAGATTCTACGTACGAACTTTCATCTTTAATAGAATCTATGGTAATTAATAAATTAAAAAATACAGACATAATTCTGAATGACCAACTTGAGACAAACAGTTCTTCCCTCCTCAACCTATTCAGTTAAAATCTAAAAAGTGTAAACACATACTAAAAATAGATCAAATGAAATCGTAGGCTTCCACGGCCAGAGTCAGAATTATAGTTTATTCGTCTTCCGGGTTTGGACCGTGTCATTTGTGAGTGACCCAAAAGTGGGTTCATCTCGACGTTTCGCTACAATTGTATGTAGCTTCTTCAGGAGAACAAAGAAAAAGAAATCAAAAGACAGGAAGATGTGTAGTTAGCAACGGTAACTCAGTTACTCAACGCAACCAGAGGCGAATACTAACTACCAAGATGGGCATTTGGTCACAGTAACTCAACTACTTAACGCAGCCAGAGGTGAAAACCAACGTCCAACCTGTTGGACGTGAATCCCTGTCCTGGCATTTGGTTTTCACCTCTGGCTGCGTTAAGTAGTTGAGTTACTGTGACCAAATGCCCATCTTGGTAGTTAGTATTCGCCTCTGGTTGCGTTGAGTAACTGAGTTACCGTTGCTAACTACCCATCTTCCTGTCTTTTGATTTCTTTTTCTTTGTTCTCCTGAAGAAGCTACATACAATTGTAGCGAAACGTCGAGATGAACCCACTTTTGGGTCACTCACAAATGACACGGTCCAAACCCAGAAGACGAATAAACTATAAAAATAGATCACTTGAGAAAGGTCCTCTGCTGAAACAGCTGTAGTGATAATAAATTTTGTGTAAGTGTTGAAAACAAAGGTTTTCAGTGTTTTATCAGATAAAATGAATTTTCATTAAGTGTCGGTCGAACCCATAACTTATTTTAAACTAGTTAACTGGGCGATTTTCGTACCGCCTTAGAATTACCTTAGAAATAATGTGTCTAAAAAATTACCAGAAAATAAAGCCAACATATTATGCAAAAAAAGTTTTTCCCATGCGCGAAACATGAAAACTCCTTTAAAAAGTTAATTCCGCAAACTTCCAGCAGTTGGCATTCACTCTCTCTCTCTCTCTTGTGAATGGATCCTCTCATTTGTATTTTTCCTTGATAATCGTTGTCACAATGACATTATTCATTAGCCTTTTCATAGTCAGTCTCGTTTTATTGCACAGTCAAAATTGATTAATGTTACGCCGCCTAATGACAACAGATCTTATTTTTAATTGTAAATTGTTAGGTGAAAGTCCAGGCAATTTTAATAAATTCAAAAAGTCATTCTGTTTTATAACTGGGCAAAATTTACCCAAAAATATAAATATCAAAAAAATAAAATCACAAAACCCCAAACAAGCAAAGTACAAAAAAAAATAAATGACCAAATAGTTACTATTAAGAAGTGATGTGTATTTAATATTGTAAGTTTCTGTGTTACTTGACAACGTTGCGTTGGGCTGTCAACTGTCAACGGCGACAGTTGACAAGTAACCAAGGAAATTGAGGCAAGCTTTTTCTCATCTCTGTAATGTATATTTGCTAATAAAGTAACCTAAGTATAATATAGTATTTATCACGGGCTCAAACATAACATTTTGGCGACGAGATAAAAAAAAAGTTTCTATTTACGATAGAGTTTATACAGAGAGGTGGTTTATATTAGTTATTGTAGCCAGCAACATGGCGTTGATAGGTAATATTGAAGCTTTTACCGGTGTTCCAGAAGAATTTGAATCCTACATAGAAAGATTAGAACATTTGTTCACTGTTAACAAGGTTGAAGAAAATGTGAAGGTTTCAATGTTAATCACACTAGGAGTCTTTTTCAGGTTTTGAAAAACTTAGTGGCCCCGAAAAAACCAACGGACTTTACGTTCCAAGAAGTGAAAGGGAAATTAATTAAACATTTTTCTCCACCTGTGTCGGAAATCTACGAACGTTTTATTTTCAATCGGTGTGAACAAAAAGCTGATCAATCTATCTTTGATTACAGTGTACAGTTAAGGAAGTTAGCAAATTCTTGTAATTTTGGACAGTGTCTAGGAGAGGCTCCAAGGGGTAGGTTTATTTGTGGGATTAAAGATGAAGGAACACAAAAGAAGTTATTGGATGAGCTGGATTTAACATTTCAGAATGCTTGTCAGTTATCTTTGGCATCAGAAGTAGCACAAGTTAATTTGTTATCCGAGGGAGGTAATATAAATGCATTAAACAAAGGCAAGCATAGAATTCCAAGGTTTAGATCAACTCTCAGTGCAGATCAAAGTTGTAAAAATTGTGGGAGAAGTCATTATAGAGGTTAATGTCGACAGTTGACAAGTAACCAAGGAAATGGAGTCAAGCTCTTTCTTATCTCTGTAATGTATATTTGCTAATAAAGTAACCTAAGTATAATATAGTATTTATCACGGGCTCAAACATAACAAGAAGATAGCGCGGCCTTTCCCTGTGATGTATATCTACTTTGGTTTTTTTTTTATAAGTACCCATTTTTTTTCGTGTATTTTCTCGTACCTATTGTCAAATAGCAAAAAATTGTTGTGAGTTTTGCCTTCCGTTTAAATAGCATGTCATTGTCTTGTTCATTCAGGCTCTTTTTCCGTGCTTCTGGCACGTTGTCACCTTCAATATTTTTAAATACATTTTAAAGAAACTCTATATGTGCATGTAAATTGTTATTTGTTAAACAATTTTTCTTACAAATTTAACGACTTTGTTTTAGACTTTCTTAAATAGCGTTAAGGCGAAGTAAACTCACAAACGCTGCAATGTTTTGTCTGGCACATCCACATTGTATATATTTGTAAGTGACATGGTGCAGTAGAGGCACGAACATGCAATATATTTCAATATTTCATTAAAGAGAAGAAAGCAAAAGTCACATATTTCATTTCGGGCTGACAGTTAAGGTTTCGTATTGCAATACAGCCCGTAAAGAAGTTACCGAGCCAAGAAAATTAATGATGCCATTTGAGCTATTGATTGTATAGGGCTTTTAATAACATCGACTCGTGCTTTACAACTCAGTAAATTGGTACTTTGAGTTGATATATTGTTCTCTATAAATCTCGGAGCTAAAATGTAAGCGTGCAAATACCGGTAAATTACTGCTTTGGTGTACCGAGAATTCACTCATTTATATCGATCACTTTATTTGGTAATTGAGTTTAATGTAACGCGGCTCTCTGATTTACAGTATTCATTTAATTTACACATCTACTAACATTTGTCATTTCCTGTTACGTGCCATATCCATATTTCGCCATTGCGAAAATTACGACCTAACGCAGGGTCGGCCACAAAATAGTTTATAGTCTCTAACAGAACTTTTATCAAACATATAAATGTTTTGATTTCAGTACACTTTTCTCAAGATACATACTATTCTTATTTTTAAATGTTTTGTGCTGACGTTTGATAGATAATAATTGGATAATCGTAATTTTATCTATTTGTCTTGTCTGGTCATTTCTGCATCTAATTTATTTATTGAGCAGTTTAAACATTTACCACTCTATATACTGCTGCTTACTAAACTCTATAATAAGTTGCTGAATACCATGGTACAATGAATACAAGGTATGATACATAATGTTCCAAAAACGGTTCGCTTCGCTCATGACGTAGTCAAGAACGCTTCTTCACGCAATATTTGAATGTACAGGTTGATCAACTTACACTCCAGAGTTCGATATTTTAGATGTTTAAAAGATACAAAAAAGTGGTCTTACATAAAAATGGGTCGAGTACAGCCAAAAATTTTAAAATTATTTTTAAATATACAAGGTATTCCCGCTTCTTAATTTGTTAATGATTACGTTATAGGGGTGTAAAGCTAGTTCGCGTCCGTAGTAGAACACTACACGTGCACCCTGGGTAAAAATGAACTAGCACAAAAGGCGCCAGACAATCTTGAATCTCCTGGCAATTCAAATATCACAGAAAATCTTTCCAGAAATGAGACTTATATTAGGACCATTTGACCAAAGAACTCGGACCAAGCATACAAGTTTGCCATTTTAACATAGAAGGCATAAGCAGGGCAAAATGTCAAATCCTGCACAGACTTTTAAAAGACAACGAAGTTGACCTAGTAGCACTTCAGGAAACGCACACAGAAAACGAAGGTCAACTAGACTCAAGAGGAAAAATCCCCGGCTATGATCTTTTGGGCGCTACCTACGATAGAGCTTACGGATATGTCCGTTCAAACATAGAAAATGCAGCATTATTCGCCACTTCTACCGAGAACAACATACACGAGGTAACTGTGAAAATAGGCAATGTCATAATAGCTAACATTATATAAACCTCCTGCTATTACCTGGCCTGTCCAAGTTCTTAATCCCTATGAACACCCAGCCATATACGTAGAGGATTTCAACAGCAACCATGAGATGTGGAAATACTCAGACTTGTGGAATGGGCAGAGGAACATGTTGCCCACTTTCTATTCGACGCAAAAGATAGAGGCACTTTCAGATCTGCGGCCTGGAGGAGAGAATATAACCCTGATCTCTGTTTTGTTACCATTGGCAACAAAGGCCAACCGCTAGCAGCATCACGAAGGGTTATGCCTGACTTTCCACATAGTCAACATCGCCCCGTCCTAATCAAGATCGGTATCAGCATTCCGATTATAAGATCATTCCCACGCCCCAGATGGAACTTCAAGAAAGCTAACTGGTCTGCTTTCACCAGTAACCTTGACAAATGCCTAGGATGATACCGCAAAGAATATATCCCTGGTTGGATAGAACAGAGCAAAAAACTTTATGAAGAATATTGCGAAGATGGAAAGCAGGAGATTGCGGACGAACTACTCCACAACATTGATGCTGCCAGGCGTGAAAAATGGATCCAGACAGTAGAAAACCTAGACTTTCAGAAGTCAAGTCGACAAGCTTAGTCCCTACTGCGGAAACTCGGAAGTAGCAACCCACCCGTTCGCCAAACCAACCTAGTAACTCCAGACCAAATAGCTACGCACATAGTGTCAACCTCTAGGGCACCTCAAAATCGTTTACATACAATTAAAGTTAAAAAAGACCTCAAAACCATAAAATCTAGTCTTGCACACTGAACAGAATATTCCAACCAATTTACGCATGAAGAAATATCTCAAGCCCTAAATGAAATGAAAATAGGAAAAGCGCCGGGTTTCGACGCGATTCACGCTGAGTTCCTCAAACATAGCGGCAGATTCACTAGGCAATGGCTCGCAGAATTCTTTTCTGACATCCTTCAAACGGGAAACGTCCCCCACCAACTCAAGAATGCAAAAATCGTCGCCATTTTAAAACCAGGGAAAAGTAATAATTCACCGAAAAACTACCGCCCCATCGCACTCTTAAGTGTGGTGTACAAATTGTTCGAAAGACTGTTGTATCATAGAATCAGCAAAACCATATTCCAACACTTATCAGTGGAACAGGCAGGATTTCGGCCAAACCGCAACTGCACAGACTAGGTAGTCGCCATGGCCAATTATGTGTAATAAAACTTTCAAAAGCAATTAAAAACAACTGCTGTCTTCATCGATCTATCTGCTGCTTACGACACTGTGTGGCGACAAGGGGCAATATATAAATTAATGCGAATATTCCCATGCAGAAAGACCACTGAGGTTATCAACGCCGTGCTATCCAACAGATGCTTTAAAGTTATATTGGGAGACAAGACTAGTACCCAAAGAAAACTGAATAATGGACTTCCACAAGGATCCGTGCAGGCTTCCATGCTTTTCAGCCTCTACATAGCAGACATGCCAGAAACTACATCAAAAAAGTTTGGATACGCAGACGACTGGATGCTTGACGCAAGTCATAAAGAATTCGAGGTCACTGAATGCATTCTAACAAACGATTTAAATGCCCTAGGGAATTATTTCCGCAAATGGAGATTGCAACCCAATCCAACTAAGACAGAAGTGTCCTGCTTCCATTTGTACAACAAGATGGCCAACTATCAATCTCAAATCCATTTTGAGGATAGACTCCTTAACTATAATAAACACCCAAAATACTTAGGTGTTACACTTGACAGAACGCTAAACTTTAAAGAGCATCTTACTAAGACTGCTGCAAAACTCCAAACTCGTAACAACATCCTGCAAAAGCTCTGCGGCACTACATGGGGCTCCTCAGCACCCACACTTAGATCGACAGCATTAGGGCTGGTATACCCCGTAGCGGAATACTGTGCACCAGTATGGATAAACAGTCCACATACTCACCTTGTTGATTTTTAACTCAACCAAGCCATTCGAACTATATCGGGCACAATCAAGGCCACGCCCTCTTACTGGATACCAGCGTTGAGTCATATAGCTCCACCACCTATCCGCCGGGAACATGCCCTTGTCAGAGAATTTACAAAAATCAATACTGATCCTGAGCTCTGCTCCCATGTCGGAACTTCCGCCAGAGATAGGCTCCGTTCAAGACACCCGCCTCTAAAAACAGCAAAAAGTCAAGTAGATCAAAACTTAAATGTAACTGAACGGTGGAGAGAACAATGGGAGAATAAAGCTGCACCAGCTAACTGGAACATGCCATGTATTACAAGCAAACCTGAGGGCTTCAACCAACCGAGACGAATTTGGACCACTCTCAATAGAATAAGGACGAACTGTGGCAGACGTTCCGACTCACTTTTTAGATGGGGAAAAATACAATCACCAAATTGCGACTGCGGCGCCGAAAGGCAAACAGTAAAACACATGGTAGAGGAATGCCCGATTAGATCCTATAACGGCAACCCTTCGGATTTCCTGGCTGCTACAAAACAGTCAATCGAATATATTTATAATCTAGATGTTTGTTTGTAGAATAATATTTTTGTATTTACTGTTGTTTGTAATTTATATAATTTATAATATAATGTGTGTATATGAACCTGTGATGTAGCCATACGCTAAATAAATAAATAATTACTTTATAATGTAGGTATATACACATTATACACAAAATTTGTATATATATATACTGAACTAAACGTAAAATCGAAATAAATAATGATAAAATCAACTTTATTTAGATCGGAAGCTAATGATCGAATGTGAATGTAGCGAGGTCCCACAATATTGCACAATGTTTTAAATGACATCTTTTGTAATTTTCACACATAAAATTATCTTGGTATTGTTTAATAATGATAATAATAATATAAGCACTACGAGCCTAGTAGGCCCATGGCTGATGTACTATCCTTTGTCACTCTCTTTTCTTTCCCAGTTCATTACGTTAAGTCTTCTCATATCTTCTTTAACTTCGTTGCTCCATCTTGAGGTCGGTTTTTCTCT